ATGAAATCATACATGGATAAAAGATCCATTCAAAATATAACATAGACCAATGATTATGAAAAGCTCATAATCAATCTGAAAGATGTTTTCAGATTCCACATTGCAGTTAACTTTTAAGAAACTACTACTTATTGAGTTTTGGAGTAGTATCAAAGAATTATTGGAAAAATCTATTGCAATATTCCTCCCTTTTCAACTACATCATCTGTATGAGGGTGGATTTTCTTTATATACTTCAACCAAAACTACATACTATAATAGGCTGAATGCAGGAGTTAAGAGAATCCATCCGTCTTTTATTATGCTAGACATTAAACATCTACAAAAATGTAAAACAAGGCCACCTTTCTCACAAATTTTTTTTTGTCTTGGAAAACAGTTATTTTTCCTGCAAAAGCTGTCATTCATGCTAATATGTATGAGTTTATATTTATTTATTTATTTTTTGTGAGGAGATCAGCCCTGTGCTAACATCTGTCAATCCTCCTCTTTTTTTGCTGAGGAAGACTGGCCCTGGGCTAACATGCGTGCCCATCTTCCTCCACTTTATATGGGACGCCGCCACAGCATGGCTTGACAAGCAGGGCGTCGGTGCGCGCCCGGGATCTGAACCGGCGAACCCCGGGCTGCCGCAGCGGAGCACGCGCACTTAACCGCTTGGGCCACCGGGCCAGCCCCTGAGTTTATTTTTTAAATGAGTATTTTTATTTTAATTTCTTATATAGTAAATATCGACACGATATAAACTACAGAAACAAAAGCTCTTTAGTTCACTGGCCCTCTAGTCTAGCCAGCACCTCACTTCTTCAGGACAGCCTCTCCCTGAGGGAACCTAACCTCAGGCACACATTCTCCTGAACTGTTTTGTTCAGCCTTTTCCATAAATTTGGGATTCTCCCTCAATTGCCCAATCTTGTTACTCATAGAGTACAGCCCACCAATCCCCCAAGTAAATCACCTCCCTGAGGAAAGCTCTGTACATAAGCTTTTAAGCATTCACTTATGATGGAAGATGGACCCCGAGGGAAGCAACCCCTAGAGGCCAGGGGTGGATTAAGAGTAGGACCACAGGCCCCTTAGAGGGCTTTCCCATACGTTTCCACTGACACAATAACTTTAACATTAACATAAAAAGGAGCATAGGTGTTTTGTTATTTACGTGCATTGTTTCAATAATTAGGAAAAACTAATTAAATACAGAGGTAGCAATCAAGTGAAATATTACAAAATTTAACTGTAAACATTCCTATCTTTTAATTTCTCCATTTTCATTAATGAAGATCCATAATTTTAGAGACAAAACACATCCAGGAAATTATCTATTTCACCTATTTTTGCAGATGAGAAACTACTGCTCAGAAAAAAATAAACAGACTTGCCTAAAGCCACAAATGACATGCATGGCAAAATAGGGCAAAAGCTTGCTGTTACAAAACCATTCTCTACAGGTCTCTTGCATTTCTGCATATCTTGTAAGCAAGGTACTAACTGCCCTTTTGTTCCAGACTATCTTTTCAAGGATATGTGTATAGTGAACAGCTTTGAAATACAGAGCTAGTCTTTTCCTCTGGAGCAAAGCACAGACTTGCTTAATGCCCAGTATAATAAAGATATCTCCCTTGGGGCCAAAGGCAAGTTTGTTTGTAGTCCAATACAAAGGTTCAGGTTTCCTAAGCTCTGTATTTCTTAGCTGTGATGCAGACCTACTGTGAGCATCACATCCAGGTGGGCCTCACCACGTCATCTCCCATGGGATTTGAGGGACAAGGGGGGAATGACGCAAATGTGATGCTTATGCTGCTTGCCGTGCTGTGAGTAACAAAGTTCTTTGTCTCTGACCCAGGAGTCTCGTACCTTCTACCAGCATCCATGAAACTGTGCTCGGCTAACTTGTTAGTTTCTATGTAGGGTACAATCTCAGATCTCACAGTTCTTGACGTTCATCAGGCCACAATACACAAACACAAGAAGCACAGTAGCCAAAAATACCTTTTAAACAACATCCTATGGCAAAGGAGTAATTAAACTGGCTAAACTCACATACTCGGTACTGAGGCACATCCTTTGGAGAAAAATATGGCAACAAAATAGCATAACCTTTGATCTGGTAAATTCTATTCCTAGGAATTTATACTAAGCATCTTATAGCAGGTTCCCTGGAAACAGACTCTGAGACAGAGTTCTCTGCATAAGTTTTACTGGGCAGTGCTGTCTGGGAGATGCCCCTCTATGCAAACGAAAACAGCAGGACTGGGCAGAGGGAGAAGCTGACCTGCAATGTGGCTACACTTAGACTTCGGCCCCTACGAGGAGCTCTGGAGTTATGAAAGCCATGCAATTGAGGCAAAGCAGCTAGACCCTCATACCCCTACACAGCCTAGTCACCAGCTATGGGTGTCCTCTAGGGGAGGTGGGAACCCTGAATAGCCCTGACCATCATCACTGAATTATAGCCTGATACAGCTGAATGGCAACCTTTAGACTTCCAGAGCATATACACAATTAAATCTCCAATTTCACAGATAGCAGTAACCTTCTGGAATAATTCAGATGACACTACCAAGGAAAGATTCACAAATACAAATGACCAAAAAACGTGGGTCAATTTCACAATATTCAAGTATAAGGAAGTACATATACTGCTAACATTTATTGTGCTTTATGACTGGCACTGTAACTGCTTCATATATATCATCTCATTTATTTCTCATAATGTACGTGACAGGTACTGTTATCATACTCAATATACAAATGACAAAAGACAGCTTAAGTAACTTGTCTAAGATCACAAATAAGCAAGTGAGAGAGCTGGGCATCACACTCAGGTCTGCCTTATCTCCAGAGCTCATAAGCTTAATTAACAAATCCATTCCACTGTCTCCCTATTTGGGGTGTTAAAACCATGCACCATGAGAACATATCATTCATTCCCCTCCAGATCTACTTCAACCTGGCTCCCTTCCCGTGGGATTACCTTGGGCTGCTATGCTCTCAAATGAACGCAGCAACTCTTGTAAGATGCTCTCTCTACACAGCCTGTCTCCAGATTCAGTAACCACTTCCTCCTCTTGACCCTCCAGGCCTGGAGTGGAAATTACTCCCACTACACAAGTCACCAAGGTACTGGACTGTTCCTAGTGGCTTCCCTACGCCCTATGCCCTGCCCACACTTTGGTAGTCTCTGTTATATTCCCCTCAAATCACCCAATTTGACAGTGTCATCTCTTCTTGCCAACATCCTAAACTATAGGATCCTAAACTATATTCATACCTAAACATAAATAGGATGCTGAGTGACGGCAAAAGGTTATTATTTACTGCTATGATCTGAATGTTTGTGTCCCCCCAAAATTCATATGTTGAAATCCTAACCCCCAAAGATGATGGTACTAGGTGAGGCCTTTGGGAGGTGCGTAACTCATGAATGGGATCAGTGCCTTATAAAAGAGACTCCACAGAGATTCTCTAGCCACTTCCACCAGGTGAGGACACAGCGAGAAGGGTTACCAGCTATGAAGAGGTGCTTGGGAAGAGGGCCATCATCAAAACATGATCATGCTGGAACCTCAATCTTGGACTTCCAGCCTCCAGAACTGTGAGAAATAAATTTCTGTTGTTTATAAGCTCCCCGATCTATGGTATTTTGTTACAGTAGCCCGAACGGACTTAGACGTTTATCTCCCTAGGAAAGCAATCTAAAAGGTCATTTTTCTGGGAATAATATGCTGTGTTGGGGAAAAAAAAAGAATACTGAAAACAAGACAGAAACTGCTCTGCCTTTCAATAAAAGTAAGTAACAAAACACGTGGACTATTTTGTGCAAGTTTAGTCCAGGCCCCAAATTAAACGATAACTCCTTCCTAGCAATGGTCCTTTCCCACATCACCCGGCTCCCAAATACACACCTTCTTTGGCATTATCTTCCCCTTCCTCACTAATATCTTGCTTCCTCTGAGAAGCAGTAGAGATAAGCAAGTACCTTCCTTCCATCTCTCCTGCTGGGACATACTTCTATCTTTAGAGGATACCTAACCTTCCAAAAAGGATCCAGAGAAGGTCAGCCAAGTGAACAAGGGAATATAACACGTTAAAAACAAAAATAAATTATAAGGTACAGAAAGGAAAAACAAATGTGCCTGAAGATAATAAGTAGCATCTTTACTCATTTGACAAAGTTTAAGGAAAACTGCCATACCACAGAACTTACTAAGGTAAGAAAAGCACCAAGGAGAAATGATAAACAGCTTCCAGAAGAACTTAGATAAATTAATGAATGATGAGAATCCATCAATCCCTCCTTCAAAACTGCTTATCAAGTGGCAACTGGGCGTAGAGCTGGAGGAGCAGTGATCTAGTGTGTGACCAGCTCCAGCAGCCGCTGGCTGGGTCACTGCTACCCTCTCTTAAGCTTCAGTTTCCTCAACTATACAATGGATGGAATGATAGGAGCCAGCTCTCAAGTTTGCCATGAGGATTAAATAATTAAGAGATGTAAAGTGCTTAGGCCAGTTGCTAGGACACACTATAGACTCAATAAATAGCTAAGAAGACTGGTATTAATAGCAAAAATTAAAAAAAAAGAAACAAACAACTCTTGACTTGCCTCTAAGAAGCTCATGAAAAACTCTATTACTGAAACAAAACTGGAGAGGCCTGAAGCACACACCTAATCTTCGGAATTTAATATGATAGACAGCACGTTACAGATTCCCATAAAAGGTCCCTAATTATTACAAAAGAGATGTATGGGCTAGATTTTTTTATTCAATGTAAAAAAAGAACAATATTACAAATGTTGGTCAAGGGCCAGTAAAAATGCATAAATCCAAGTAGAACTCTTACAGGTTTAATAATTTTAGAAAACTATTTGTAAGGCTAACTCAAGAAATGGAAGAGATACTATTTCACAGGCTCCATATCACTGAAATGATGAGTCACGTTTACAAGGTCTTCCCTCTGAATGCCCAAAGCATCATCAATATAATTTCTAATAAACCTACTCTTTCTCCTTCAGCTCTGGCAAATCCAAGTACCAGTGCTCTTCACTAATGATTTTCTTTTCTTCCTCTTCTAGTTGTTTCTTGGTTTCTGAATCCAGTCCCCTTTGCATGAACTGTCAAAACAAAACAAAATCAATGTCAGCAATTAATTTTCCCAACTTAGAGTTGAGGAAAACTCAAATAACTTATTCTTCCACTTGCTGTCCCTCCTGTCTCTAGTAATCCCATCTCATGATTGAGGGTGGGGGTGGGGTGACCACGCAGCTCTGCCCTTGACAACATCAGACTAGACCAGGAGGGAACTTGCAGAGCACACAAAAAAGTGCTGTGTACCTCCTTTAAAATACTTCAAAAAGATCTTTACCATAGCCTAGTTTTTCTGATTTAATAAAACAAGCAACAAAAAACTGTATTCAATAAGTATCACACTACATATGTGATACATAATGGCCAGTGAGGAAGGACTAAGACAAAGATTGATCTACAATCAGGACAGGCAGGTAGAGAAGAAAGTGAGAGGGAAAGAAAGGACGAGAGACTCGCTACTTTCTGATTCTCTTGCTGACCCACAGAGCCCAGTGGTCTTTGTACCTGCTGATTTTAGTCTGGAATGCCCTTCTGACTCTCTTCCACCTGGCCAACTCCTAGCCCTTCTGACACAGGTAAAGCTACTCCAGCTCTGCGAAATCATCCCTCACAGCTGCAGGCAAAATCAGCATCTCTCTCCTAGAAGCTTCCCATGGCACCCTCAAATAGTGTCATCACATTTTAATTTCTCAAGCATCTGTCTCTTCTGGAGACCTTCAGGGCAGGGACTGTGTCTGGATCATCTCTTTCATCAGTACCAGCATGATGAATGATGGATAGTAAGGGCTCTTTAGATGTAGACCAAAGCGAAGCTACATCTATAAGTCTGCTCTTCACTGATATCTTTCCTCTGAAGTGCTGATCAACTCTATAGCTGCTCTTTATTATAAAATCTTCAGAAGTTCCATTCAAAATAGGCCAGTAGAGAAAACAGCAGTCCTGCTGCTAATCTCTCCATAGCACAAACAATAGGTCTATTTCCTCAGGGGACAGGTGAACAAAGAAGTTAATCATAGCAAAATGATAAAGTATCAATACAGGAGAAAATAAATCAGAAAACACCCAGAAGCCTCCCAGCAGTTAGGTCTCGGGTTCCACTGGTTTCCATTTATCCCCATTTCTTTCCCTTATCCAAAGCATTCCAAAAACACAAGCATTTTTAGGCATAAGGGCTTTACCAATGACTACTAAATGAAATGACAAAACTCAAAAAATATTCATAAATAAAATATAGTGATAACATCAAGTTCTGAGGAGGATGTGGAGAAGCTGGATCACTCATACATTGCTGGTGGGACTGTACAATGGAACCTCTGTGGAAACAGCTTGACGGTTTCTTACCCAACTAAACATGCACTTACCATATGACCCAGCAATCGTCCTCTTGGGCATTTATCCCAGAGAAATGAAAACTTACGTTCACTCAAAAACTTATACATGCATATCCACAGCAGCTCTATTAATAACAGCCCCAAACTGGAAACAACCAAAATACTCTTCAACAAATGAATGGTTAAATAAACTGTGGTACATCTACAGCATGGAATACTAATCATCCATACAAAGAAAGGAACTAGTGATATACTCAACAATTTAGATGGATCTCAAGTGAATTATGCTGAGTGAAAAAAGCCAATCTCAAAAGGTGACATACTATATGATTCCATTTACATAATATCTTTGAAATAACAAAATTATGGGAATGGAGAACAGATTCGTGCTTGCCAGAGGTTAGGGATGATAGAAGGGAGTAAGAGCGGCTATAAAGGCATAGCTCCAGGTGATGGAACAGTTTTGCATCTTGAATGTGGTGGTAGTTACACAAATCTACACGTGGTACATTGTATGGAAGTATCTCTCTCTCTCACACACATGAAGGAGTGCGTGTAAAATGGTGAAATCTGAGTAGGCTCTGTGGATTGTACCACTGTCAAATTCCCGGCTTTGCATTACACTCTAGCAACATAAGATAGGGAGGTGGAATGAGGGGTGTACAGGATCTCCTTGTACATTTTTTTTGCAACTTCCTATGAATCTATCATTATCTTAAATAAACATAAAAGAAATGTCTGCAATCCTATCTGAAGTGTTTTGTGGTCCTCATCCTTTTGCCTCTGTGTCTATACCCTCACCACAGGAAAGAATTGGCAGTTTCTGGAATGCATCCCCTGTACCTCCCAGTCCTTTTGCCCCTGCTACTCAACACCATGCTTCCATTCTCTGCCTGGCAAAATATGCACTTGCGAAGGGCCAGAGCACACGGCCTTTGGGCCTCCACTGACTGTTGTTTGGCCAAACTCTTTCCAGGCATGTTCCTGTAAAAGAATACCTTTTCCCATTTCTAAGACAGCCTTATAAACACTGGCTTTTGTTCATTATGCTTCTTCTGTGTCTCCCAAGACTGAAATTCTGAAGAGCATACCATGTCTCTTCTTCATCTTGTATTACCGGTACTCAGGCTGCACCTGGTACCCAAAAAGAGTTCAGTAAAGGTTCTCTGAACGTGAGTCTAGACTTGTCTTATTTTTCCAGATTCCCTTTCTTGGACGGTTCTCTTTATACCCAGATGCCTCATTTCATCACTTATAGTTTTATTGGTAAAATTCACCAATCCTGCCCAAATGCCCTTTTATCTTCTATTTTTAGTCAAGGAGATATTATTATGGCATACAAAATAGCTGTATATATATAATAGCTGTACACATGGAATATGTGTATATGTGAATATGAATCAAGGAACTCGACTTAGGTCTAGCAATACAATTCTCCTGACTCTACAGCATCTAAGAACACACTCCAAAGCGAGTGAATTAGCTTTATTCACAGCTGAGGGACTACAGCAGTTATCGCAAACTATAGTCCCTAGGCTGTTGTTATAAATAAATGTTGTTATAAATAAAGTTTTACTGGAACAAAGCCACCTCATTCAGTTCTGCATCACAATAGCAGAGCTGAGTAGTTGCAACAATGACTTTTTGGCCCACAAGCCTAATTTATTTATTATCTATCCTTTTACAAAAAAAGTTCACCAACTCCTGTCTTAAGAGTCCGAAAGAGCTAAAAATCACAAATAAGAGCCCTCTCTACAACCATTCCATCACACTGACAGACCTCCCATACATCCTTCACTTTCCACTGCCCATGAGGATCACCCACCAGCCCCCAGTAGCTGACCAGGTCAGATGACTTCAAGCACACCTGAAAACAAAGGAGTCAGTATTAAATCCTCAACCCTCTCATTCTTGCTCTATACTTAGCTCTAACAGCTACACTGGATATGGGCAACCTAATGCAGCTTGCTCCTTTCCTTCTCAAAGGACACTCCACTCTATCTGTATACATAGTGTCTCCTGTTATCCTGCCAATAAGTTCTTCCTTTTCAATAACTGAAGTTGCTAACCCAACTAGAGAACCTGGGTAATTTTTTTTCCTCTCCTTTGCTTCCAATATCCAGTTGAGTCTTCCTCAACCACTCGGGTAGGGGTGGATAATTTTTTTTAAGTTAACTTCTTCCTTTCTAACTCCAGAGTCAGATTTTTGGTCTGAGCCCTAATCACCCAGCACATCTTCATTTGACTTATTCCAAGAGCTAAAACAACTTCTAAAATCTTTTCAATGCCTGCTTTGTCAATCCATTCCACGTCTCTGAAATCTATATGATTATAAACCATAAGCCAAAAGAAAACCCTGTTCAGTAAAGATTCAAATTTTGCTAATACGCATCAAAGAAGTACTTTAGAAACTATAAATTATGCCACGATTTACCCCCACCCTCACTCGCCCTATTCATCACTAGTTACACCCGAAATATTACTTATGCTTCCTTTTCCTGGAAATTCCACAACTCTCTACACGTGACATCTAACAGTCTGCATCTGTAAGTATTGTGTTCAGCGACAAGCAGTATAGAGTGGTAATTAAGAGCAGGGGCTTTGGAGCCAGACTGCCTGAGTCTGAGTCCTGTCTACTCTACTTACTAGCTGTGCAACTTTGGGCAAGTTACTTACGTCTCTGTTTCAGTTGCCTCAGCTGTACCACTGTGCCCACTTCAAAGGGATATTATGTGGATTTCATGGGTTAATATATGCAAAGCACTTAGAACAGTGCCTGGCACACAGCAAAAACTATAAATGTTTGCTATTAAGTTTCAAGGTTTGGTTGCTTCCTCTATTTTAATTCCTGTATTCATTTTATCCGCGCTTGTCTTTTCTTCCCCCTTTGAAATTATTTGGTTAAACTGACTTAATTTCAAATCTAAAAATCAATTTTGCTTAAAGTTGGGTGACATAACTCGCTTTCACCTCAACTGCTATAATTCTCCCCGTTCCCATCACCACTGTAACCCTCACTCGGATCATCAGAACCTCTAGCTGGTCTTTCTGACTGCAATTTTGTGCCTTCACCAATCTATCCTCCACCGGACAGTTAAGTAACCTTGAAAAGAAGCACAGCTAACGATACTGTTCAATAGCTTCCCAATGTTCACAAGATACAAGAATCCCTAATCTGGCCCCAAATTCCTTGCATAGTTGTAACCACTGGCTACTTTCCCAGGCCCATTTCCTGCTACTTGCCTTCCAGACACACTGAATTATTTTAGTTCCTGGAAATCTCAACGGATTTTTTGGGTTTTGCCTCTCAGACTTCTGAACTCGCTTTTCCTTCGGTTTACGTCGCTGTGCACCCCCTCTCCCCCTTCAGTCTCTACCTGAGGGCCGCTCCGCGCAGAAGCCCAAGGAAGTTCCGGGGCTCGCGGCGCTTCCAGCATTACTGCACTAACTACACTGTATCCTAACTGCTTGCTCACGTGTCTGTCTCTCCTATCCGACCGCGGGCTTTGTGCGAGAACCCGCCGGATTTATAATCCGGTTCCTAATGCCTAACGCAGAGCAGGCGCTGAATGAATGACGGAACGCCACAGCTGGAGGGCTCCGGGGCCTCTCTGGTGCCCCCATGCGCTCGCCGCCTCAGCGCCGGCTGGGTCGGGAAGACCAGGTACCCCTGCCGCCCGGCCCGCCTCCTCCACGTCCCCGCACCTTCATGCGCAGCAAGTTCTTAGACAACTTAGTCTTGCGCTCGGCCGCCATGCTGGCTCCCACCCGGCGCTCCGCCACTATCCCCCCGCGCATGCGCGCTGCTGCGTGCGCAGCGGCACCGCCTTACGTAGCGTGCGTCATCCCGCACCGTGGCTGCGCCCACGTTTTTCGCGCTCGAGAGCGTCCCGGGTGTTTCGCGCGTAGCCTCAGGAAGCGCTCGCCTGAGGGGGAAGCTCGTGTTGAGGCCCGGCCGTCGAAGTGGAGGGAAGAGCGACTTAACGCCGGGAGGGAGACGTCAAAGAGGCCGCAGTCGGAGGAGGCCCGAGTCCCGGCCGCTCCGACCTGTTGGCCGCCTTCCCCGAGGGCTTTTGCCGGGCCCCCAGCCCCCGTGCCCCCGGTCCTGCCGCGTCGATGCCTCAGTCGTCCTGTGAGACCCTCGAGACCGTTGCCACACCACCCCGCAGGGACTGTTTCTCCCACTTTTCTGGCATGGATGGCAGGATTCCAGTGTTCTGCGTCGTGTAATAGTTCATACTCGCCGTAACCCCGTGGGGGGCACTGGCATTGTCCCCATGTTGCAGTTGAGTAAACTGGGGTATAGGGAGGTTCCTTAACGAGCCCGAAGGAGAGTGAGGGAGGTGGGTCTAAACCCAGGCAGTCTGGCTCTGGAAATACAACGGAAACCGTGGTCAAGTCGGCTGTTCACGGCTGTGTGCGTCTTTGAACCTAAACGATCTTTGTGTTGAATAGGGGAATAGCAAGAGATAGTCAACGCCGTGAGGTGGCGAGGACGACCTTGTTTGAATCTGAAGAGCTGAGAAGATGATAGCTCAGTGCCCTGTGTACCACCTCGGGACGTTGCTCACACCCTTCACAGGTGCTGCACTTCGGGCGACGCCCAACCTGATAGCATTTCAGCTGAGAGCCTGCACCATGTGCCACGTTCTTTTGCTGGCTACCTTACGTGTGTTATCTAGTCCTCGTAAGAACGCTGAAGAAGATATTGTTGTCATCCTATAGTTAGGGAACCCCAGGCCTGGAGGGGTTAAGGGCCTTACCCGAGTTCACACAGCTAGTAAGTGTTAGAGCTGACATTCAAGAAACATGATAAAAACGTGGCCCTGCCCTGGCAGGTTTTCTGAGTGGAGTGGATAAAGGCATTGCAGTGTGGTAAGCGGTTATGGAAGTTCGTTCATGACTACGGGTGGACTGGGCCAGGCTCTGGGCAGCCATAGTGTGTGAAAACACATGCCCTCCCTTTCCTGGAGCTGGCATTCTTGTGGATGCCGTGGAAGAAAGACGATGATGTGATAGAGTGACCTGTAGGGTTACTTTAGGTAAGGTGATCCGGGATGTCTCTTGTCAGAGGGCGGTGTTAAGGTTGAAAGTTGAGAAAAACCTGTTGTATGAAGAGTTGGAGGTAGAGTGTTCTAAGAGGAGAGACTAGTGTCTGTAAAGGTCCCAAAAGGAGAGCAAGACAAGGGAACAATAGAGGTAATCACATGTTATGAATTGAATTGTGTCCCTCCAAAATTCATAAGAATTTTGGCTCAGAATGGACTGTGTTTGGAAATAGGGCCTTTAAAGAGGGATTAGGTTAAAACGAGGCACTTAGGGTAGGTCCTAATCCAGTCTGACTGGTGTCCTTAGTAGAAGAGGAAGTTTGGTTTCATAGGGAGACACCAGGCATGCACATACACAGAGGAAAGGCCATGTGAAGACACAGCAAGGAGGCGGCCATTTGAAAGCCAAGGAGAGGCCTCAGAAACCAGACGTGTCTACACTTGTATCTTGAGTTTCTAGCCTCCAGAACTGAGAAAATAAAGTTTTGTTGTTTAAGCCTCCCAGTCTATACAATTTTGTTATGGCAGCCCTAGCAAACTAATACACATAATTAGCTATAGATTACAGTTGTAATAAGAGCCCTATAAGAAAACTAAGGGGTTTGTGAGAGGATATAGCAAAGGAACCTAAACCATTCTGGCTTGGAAAAGGAAAGGACTCTTAAAGCTGTGACATTTAAGTGGAGATCTCAAAAGGGAGGATTTAGCTTGGGGAAAGGCCTTCCAATCATTCAGTTTTATGCTACCAACACTCCCAGACATCCACACAACACTTTTCACTTTCCAAAACAAACTCTACCCATTAAACAGTAACTCCCCGTTCCTTCCACCCCCGGCAGCCACTATTCTACTTTCTGCCTCTGTGAATTTGACTTGTGTTCAGGATTTGGAAAGAAGTTCTGTGGAAGCAGAGGTGAAGAAGTGACCCAGTCTACCATCTGCAGCTAGGAAACAGCTGAGATCTTGAAGGATGAGCATGTATCTTGTCAGCTTAAGAGGAAAACAATTCCTGGCAGAAATAAGAGCGTCCTAAGCTGCTAGAAGTTCCACGCCTTTCCTATGGCCTTCTGTTGTACCAGTCTACTTGCACACTGGATTCTGATTCATTTCTTGAAACATAGGCTTCATCATGTCACTTTCCTACTTCAAAATTTACAATAACTTATTGTCTGAGGAGTAAAGGTCAAATTCTTCAACCTGCTACTCCTGCATTTTTCTTTGACAATGAAAATACTTTTAATTAAAACTAATCCCTATAGTCTCTTCCAACCCATCAAAATGTAATAAATGAGAAGTGATTTAAGAGTAATAGTGTAATTTTAACTTTGAATTAAACTCCCTGTCAGGGAAGATAACTCCTTGATGCTACTCTATGCTACTCTATGCTACTAAGTTGTAGAACACAGAAGATAAGTCTCTCACTCAGTGTATTAACCTGTTTTAGTTACACAGCCAAGGAAACATTGTTTTTAAGGCAGAGAGATTTCTGTAGGTCTTCACACATACAATGGATTTTGAATCCTTTCCTAATAGAATTTCTTAGAAGTGTGAAAACTTCCAATTCCTTCCAGTTACTATAGCCATCAAGAAAAGGTCCCCTGAGCCTCTCCACTCTTGTAGCCGACTGTATCTAAGGCTGTGCAGCCCAGTACAGGAAGCCTAGACATATGTGTCTGCTGAGCACTTGAAATGTGGTTAATGTGGCTGAGGAACTGAATATTTAATTTTAAACTTAAAAACTAGAAGTGTAAAATATTTTCCCATTATATATATTTTATTGCTTTGGAAAGACTGCATTTGACTTTAACCTTTGAAAATTTAGCATCTGAGTTGAGATGGGCTAAGTTTAAAATAAGTACCACATTTCAAAGACCTGAAATGAAAAAAGAGTAAAACGTCTCAATATTTTTTCATATTGATTACATGTTGAAATAATCATAGTTTGAATGTATTGGTTTAAATAAAACCTAGCATTAAAATTGATTTCATCTTTTTTTTTAATGAGGCTGCTAGAAAATTTAAGATTACACTTATGGCTTGCATTTCTTCCTCTTTATTTAGTAGCTTTTGTTCTTTTGTTTGTTTTGCAAGTACCAGAAATTGATAATGGGTTACTAAATGGGGATTTATTAGAAGGATACTAGATAGTTCATAGAAGTAGTAACAAAGCCTGAGAACAAGGCCAAGTTAAAAGGACAAAATCCAGGGCATCCCAGGGATCTAGGAAGCAGGAATTAACTTAGTGCCACTGCAAGAATGATGAACACCAACTGATTTCTCTGCTTTTAGGACACTACTCAAGTTTTCAAAGTCTAGGAGAGAGTCTCATTGAGTTAGCTAAGAGAGAGCAACACGTGTTCTATAGTCCCTGTAGGACTATACAGAAGCGGGGAGGGTAATTCTTTAAAGAGAACTTGGGTGCTGTAACAAAGAAGAGGTAATCATTGTAATAGCCAAAACAGCAATGTCAAGGACAAATATCTATTTAAGGCAGGAAGGAAGAGAGTTCTGTTGACACAGCCCCAAAGGACAAATAATTGGTAGTGTCAGCTGGAAAATGCACATCCAACATGAAATATATCCCTTCTCACAGAATGTGCTCCCTCTTCCTGCTTCCCTGTTTGATTTGGTGAGGAAGTATTTATTGGCTGCCTGTTACGTGCAAATTGTGACTGTAGGACAACCAGTCTAAAAATCTAAGTAGTGTAATACATCCCTTCTGCTTTTACATTCAGTTACTTACTAAGTCCTATCTATTACTTGTTCGTGGTTATCTTGGTTAAATTAGAACTTGGTGCTGGAAGTGACCTTATGGGGCATCCAGGTAAGTAATTCCTAGACATCAGTCAGTGGTTATGACAGAATGACCAGGGGAAATTTAAAACACGTCAAAAACAAAGGTCATTCCTAATTATTGGATGATTGTGATGATCAGCCAGGATTTGGAAACTACTGAGCTAGATGAGTCTCCTAATTATATGTACCAAATTGCATCAACTCAGAATTCAGGTTTGTGAACTCTCCATTTGGCTTTCTTTTTTATTGTGCCCCCATTCTTTCCTTTCTTTCCATTGTCATGAGACCATCCCTGAATTTAATGGCTAAATCTTATTACTTTATGACTGTGACAGCCAAAGTCTCCTATTTTTTCTGCCCCCTGCCTTTTTCATTCTTTAACCAATATTTTTGAGCATCTCTTATGTTCCTGGCCCTTTGGTAGGTGCTGGGGGAGCTACCTGAGAGTATGCCACAGACAAGGATACAGGTCTCAGTGGTGTCATAGAGATAGGAGTTGTGACAGGGAACCTAATCTGGATTTGAGGCGCTTGGAAAGCATTCCTTGGGGAAGTGATATCTAAGCTGAGACCTCAAGATGAGTTAAGACTATGCCAGACAAAAAAGGGAAAGGGGCAGGAGGAGTGAGGGAGTGTTTCAGTCAGATGGGAAAGGGTTTGAATGATGGCTATCGTGTAAGTGACAAGCCTAGAGAGGCAAGCTAGGGCCAAATCTTAAAGGCCATATGTTAAGTTGGGAGGATTTTGAAAGTCGCTGTGAAGCTATTGAACTGTTTTAAGCAGGAGAATGACATCATTTAAAAATTGTACAATAGAATTGTGTCATTCTTAAGATCACTCTGGCTGAAAGTGGAGGAGGGAAGTGAAGGAAGGAAAAACAAAACAAGGCAGGGAGAAATTCTGACCCTCAAGTCATCTCAATCGTTCTTTTAGATTACCCTTCCT